CAGGGAAGTCTACTTTCAATGCATCCACGGTCCTTTTGGATATACTTGGATATGGCCGTCTCAGTGTCATGGGGAGTTTGTTACCTGAAAAATGAAAGAAAGGAAAAACCGAAGCACAGGCAACTTTATTTAAATCTCTAGTAAATTCTCTTCAGAATGCATTTCACAAATTGTTTATACCTTACATGGAAGTGAATTTATTAGAAATCCAAACCACAATGGCTTATGGACACCCTCTATCTTGGGCTTCTGCTAGCAGGTGCGGTGCTCCAATGAGCCAGGGAACTCCCATCTGTGCCGACTCCGAGAATCCAGGGCTACCTGGTAGCCCTGGCGTATCCAGGTCGCCCTGTTTGGGGACAAAAGGTTGCCCAGCTGCTAAGCGGGGAAGCCCAATACCAAAAGGCTAAGGTACACTTTTATTGGTAAAGGATAAGTGTCCATTTCTAGGCACCTTATTTCACTGAGAAATAGAAGGAACCAGAAAAGAATTTCTACAGGCTCTCCAAATCACATCTCCCACCAACCTGCAGCTATGCCCACTTGCTCTTCCTCCTCTCCGGGTTCAATAGGCGGGTTTTCTTTGCTCTTATCTAAAGCCAAACCCTCCACTTATGCACTGGATTCATCCCATCTCACCTCCCCAAGGACTGTATCCCTCTCTGCTGGAGGATTCCCAGTTAGCACATGAGCGCACCACAGTGCTTCTCATTTTTAGACCCTCCTCTGGACTCCATACCTCCCACCATTCTTGCTCTTGTCTCTTCTCCATTTGGAGACACCCAAGAGGCATCTCTAGGCCCTTGGCCCCCATTCTCTCTTGCTCTTCCTCTTCACCACTCCCCCAGACACCTTTAGCAAAGTCAAGATGCTCTCCATGTGGCTAGGTCAGAGGACCCACGATCAGGCCCATCTCACCAACACATCAGCAGAATTTGACAAAGCTCATCTCTCCCCTCTTGAAGCACCTTTTCCTTTCGGCCCTGGAGGTAACACTCTCCTCCTGCTTCGCTGACGCCCTCATTGGCCGCCCCCCCGCCCCAGGCGGCTTCTCTGGTTCCTTTCTGCCTCCCTGACCTCTAAGCATCAAGGGCTTTGAGGCTACATCCCCAGATCTCTTCTACCTACACTCACTCCCCTGGAGAGCTCAGCCAGCTGCAAATCTGTAAACACCATCTCTCTGCACTGACAACATCCAACATCCAAACAATTTTCTCCAGCCCAAAATTCTCTAAAGTTCAGACGTGTATATTCAGTTTCCTAACCATTTCCCTTGGATAGACAATAAGCATCTCCTTTCCAGTCTCGTATCCCAAGACTTTCCTCCCACACTCTGTTTAGTCACTCAGGCCCCTGAACTCTTCCTGAAACAGGCTGAGCTCTTCCCCACCACAGGGCATTTATACTTGCCCCTTTCTCTACTGGAAACTTCTTTTTTGGGGAGCAGGGTGGAGTCTCTTTTACCAGATCTGTGCATGGCTCACCACCTAGCTTCACTCAGTCTCTGCTTCAGTGTCACCTCTCCAGATAGGCCTTCACAAATCTCCCCATCTAAAACCTAGACCCCACCACCACCCTCACTCCCTACCCCTATTCCTGCCTTTATGTGTTTGCTTACCCTTATCTCTACCTGACATTATATAAGATATTTGCCTATTTCTGATTTATCTTCCACATTAGCATGGAAGGACCAGATCCACAGTGCCTCAAATGGTGCCTGACACATAGTAGGAACTCAACAAACATTTACTGAGGGAATTAATTTATATTTTTGTGTGAATTGCCTCTTGGTGGATTTTGCACATGTTTATTAGTATGCTTGACATTTTAAAATTGATTTTAAAAAAATTTTTTTTAATTTAAATTCAATTTAGTTAACATAGAGTGTATTATTAGTTTCAGGGATAGAGTTCAGTGACTCATCAGTTGCATAGAACACCCAGTGCTCCTTACTTCAAGTGCCCTCCTTAATGCCCATCACCCAGTTACCCTATCCCCCCACCCCCTCCCCTCCAGCAACCCTGTTTGTTTCCTATGATTAAGAATCCTCTTATGGTTTACCTCCCTCTCTGTTTTTATCTTATTTTATTTTTCCTTCCCTTCCCCAATGTTCATCTGTTTTGTTTCTTAAATTCCACATATGAGTGAAATCAGATGGTATTTCTCTTTCCCTGACTGACTTATTTCACTTAGCACAATACCCTCTAGTTCCATTCATGTCATTGCAAATGACAAAATTTCATTATTTTTGTTTTTTTTTAAGATTTTATTTATTTATTCATGAGAGACAGAGGGAGAGAAGAGAGGGAGAGAGAGAGAGAGAGAGAAGCAGAGGGAGAAGCAGGCCCCCAAGGAGCAGGGAGCCCGATGCAGGATTCGATCCCAGGACCCTGGGATCATGACCTGAGCCGAAGGCAGATGCTTAACCATCTGAGCCACCCAGGCGCCCACAAAATTTCATTATTTTTGATCACTGAGTAATATTCCATTGAGTATATATACACCACATCTTTTTTTTTTAAATTTTTTATTGTTATGTTAGTCCCCATACATTACATCATTAGTTTTGGATGTAGTGTTCCATGATTCATTGTTTGTGCATAACACCCAGTGCTCCACGCAGAACGTGCCCTCTTTAGTACCCATCACCAGGCTAACCCATCCCCCCACCCCCCT